TTGCAGGTGAGCGGAACCAGGAGCTGATGAGAGACCCTTTTGGCCACCATGTGGCTCGAAATGTAGCCCTGACTACTTTCCTGAAGCGCCGAGAGGCTTGGGAACAGCAGCAGGGAGCACTGGCCAAGCGGAGGCGGGCTTTGAACTCAATACTTGAAGACTGAGGCCTTTGGATGTGGGACTGAGTGGTAAAGGGCATATCTGTCCTGTCCCCTTTGTAGTTTAAGTTGGAGTCAAAAGCCTTAATAATAAATACTTTTTTATATTTTTATTGGAACTGTTTTGTTATTTGGGGGAGAAGCGTATAAAGAAATCAAGGTCTCAGAGGCAGAGAGAGCTGAATTCAGTGCATTGGGAAGCTGAGGGGCAGGAGGAGGTGCAAAGAATCGAGATGTAGCAATGATCAGGGTGGAATCGAGATGCATGCCGATGGGCTTGTGGTCCTTCAGGGTAAGTGGGAGGCCGGAAAGGTGGCTAGGAAGGAAAGAGCATTCTTCAGGACAGGGTATAGGCTAGGACTCGAAGGCCTTAACCATGGTATGCCATAACAATGGGCTTAGAAGACAGTGGGGAAATCAGGTGAGTCATCTCATCTGCACTGTCCTCACATCTCCAAAGCCAATGCTGTCACAGTCCTCACAGTGTGTCTCTTGGAACGAGTCTAGGGGCAGAAAGCTCAGAGCCCCTTCTCAATAGGGATGGAAGCGACCCTGCCGCTGCCAGTGCCACTGCTCGGCCCCTTCTACTACATGGCGGAGGCTGGAGGCAATTCCCAGCAGCATATGGCCCAGGCCTTGCAGCAGTGCAGAGGTCCAACGGAGGAGCTCCCTGAAGGGCAGAGACAAGATGGAGTCGGATGGGTGGGAGGAGGCCATCGGGGGGGTTTTCCACAAGGGAGAGCTAATGGGGTAGGTGAGTGCAGAAGGAATTAGGGGGCTGCAACTGTAGGGGGATAGGGAGACATGACCTGTTGGTCTCTGACCTGAGTACTTTCTTTGGGCCAAGTCCTTGAAAGTCACAGCTCATGGAGTAGAGCCCATAGAATGTGGCTTTGATATTGAGGCTGCCAAAGAGGTCTCGAGGGTTTTGCTTGTATACGTCGAAGGTGATGCGGGCGATGTCCTTGCTGTGCTTGGGCTTCTCCCGGCCCAGGCCATATGACAGCATCCCACTCTGTAGGGCACCTCCATCAGTGCGATGCATCCCACACACAGGGAGCCACCACTATGCCCCAGCAGCACTGGGTCAGACCCACCCTTGCCTGGACTGTTGGTCCCCTATAAGGGGTCCTTGGCAAACTCCTTGCCTCTCCCAGTGCCTCTGCCCCCAAGATCATGGTTGGGCTAGAGAAGCTAGAAGAGAGAGCCAGAAAGGACTGGTGGCCAACAACAGCCCCACTGTGGGCCTCTCACCCTGCTGGGGCTCCAATTCTGCCCACACTCCAGCACCATCAGGCATGTGTCATCCTCCAAAAGCTGGAAGAAGTCTTCACTCTCCACAGCGGTCCCATCCTCCTCCAGCACCAGTGTTAGCATCCCACTCAGGAGCAGGGCCTCCAATGCCTGCCCAGCCACAGGAAGCAGGAGGGAAAGGGCAGAGCTTAGCCATGCCCTTCCCCCTCCAGCGACCCTGCATCCATTGGTTGGTCCTAGATACTGGCTGATATGCCAACTCTACTTCCTGGAAAACTGCCATCCCTTCAGATGGCTCCCATGCTCAGTGTTCTCGGTGTTGCTGGTGGACCCTCACTAAGGGTTGACTTCTTTTCCTAATTGTTCCTATGTCATTCTCCATGTCATTGTCTTCTCCTGCTCCTCCCCTCTGAGGCATTCCTACCGGCTTGGAATTGAGAAATTCCAAGCTTCTGTTGAGGTCCATCCTTCGGTCTTATCTCCAGTGTCCTACCTCACTGTCCCCCACCCTCAGAGAGTCCTCTAGAACTGTTTTCAATAATAATGACCCTTAACCTTTTTGAGTCTTAGTGTCACATATCTATGTAGCACTTTACATACATTGTCCTCTTTGACTCCTTTCAGTAACTCTAGAAGGAAGGTGTATCCTTACTTCCTTTTTGTAGATGAAGAAACTGAAGTTTTGATAGATTGAACAACTTCCTACAGTTTGACATTAGCAAACCAGCCAGTCCTGATGGAATCAGGACTTGAACTTGATTTGTCATACAAATCACTCCACACTGATTTCTGAATGCCATTCCTCCAAACCCTCCCTTTCTACTCCTTCCTCTACCCCCTGGAAAAGAAATGAATTGATCCAAGTACAGCATTGGTCATTGGGCTGACCGTCTCCCCCCACCCCCTTTTAGTCCTCAGAGGGAGGGGCAGCCCGGTACCTAACCTCATCCTTTCTGCTCACTCTAAGTTCTTCCTCTTCTCTAGCCCTCTGGTTGCCACTGCAATAGGAACTTAGGGATTTGGCTCACTTACCTTGTCAAGCAGCTCCTGGCGGGTGGCAGCTGTTAGACCTTTCCGCGTGGTCCGCTTGTGATCACAGACTCGGAAAGGTCTCTGGGGTGGTGAAGCTGAAGTCCAGACTTTCCTGCCAAACTCAGAGCCCATACTGGATACCGACCTGGTAGTTGGGAAGAAAGGTCTTGAACTGAGGAGTTGGGTGACTTCAATGGGGATGATTGGGGGTGGGGTGCTTGGAGAGTTAGGGAGGGATCTAGGTTTGGAGATCAGAGTAGCCTAGGGAGAGAGGGAGAGACCATGGAGTGGGGGTGGTGAGTGGTGGTTCCATAGCTGGACAAGCCCGCTATGGAAGTGGTGGGGAGGGGAGAGGGGAAAGGGTACATGAGTCTCTGAGTCTCCTAGGGGCTGAATGGAATTTGATTGCCATGCACTATCCTCAGAGTTGGAGGGTAGAGAGGAGGGTTAGAATTCACCTGAGCAGGCCGCTGGGGTTCAGGGCTGAGAGGTACTCCATGGTGGAGGGAAGGAGCAGGAGTGTTGCCTCTCCCAGTGACTTCTGGGCTCTGTGATTCTCTGCTGTGCTGGGGCTGAAGTGGTGGTGTTTTCTGTTAGATCTCAGCCCCAGTGAGATGGAGGATGAGTCACCCCGGACTCTGGCCTCCCCTGCTAGGCCAGTAAGAAGGGCAAAGTCTAAGGGGAGGGAAAGGGGAGGGAAAAAGGAGGGGCCTAGATGGGACCATGGAGGAGGGATTGAGGCCCAGAGTTGCCTGCAAAAGTCACTGAAGCTTGTGTGTGTGTGTGTGTGTGTGTGTGTGTGCGTGCGTGCGTGCGTGTGTGTGTGTGTGTGTGTATGGTGGCGGTGTGTGCTGAGGATAAATGGGAATAATGTAAGAGGACAGGATGTGATCTCTGGTCTTTTTCTTTCTATGGAGAGAATTTCTAGGGATTGTTTCTGGCTCCCAGCCCTCAGTGGCGTTCTGTGATTTGTGCTGGACTTGCTGCCACCTACTGTGAGAGCCACAAACTGCAGCTTTGGGAAAAGGGGGGCCCGGCTGAGGGTGGGATGGTGGGCAGGGCTTGGGCACTGGTGTCCTGGCTCCTTGGGAGCCCCCAGTTCCAGCTGTTGACTGGGCAGGTGTCTTCCCCCTTACTTCCATTTTTTTTTTTTTTAAGATTTTATTTATTTATTTGAAGACAGAGATCACAATAGGCAGAGAGGCAGGCAGAGAGAGAGAGAGAGAGGAGGAAGCAGGCTCCTTGCTAAGCAGAGAGCCCGACGTGAGGCTCGATCCCAGGACCCTGAGACCATGACCCGAGCTGAAGGCAGAGGCTTTAACCCACTGAGCCACCCAGGCGCCCCCTTACTTCCATTTTTTTCAGTGTACCAGGTCCACCTGAATTTTCTGCATTTCCAGGCTTTGCCTGACCTCTTCACCCAGAGAAGTTTCTTGTCGGCATGGTTCTACCAATGCACCATTTCTTTTCTTCCTAGCTTGTATCCTGGTGGAGCCTGGTAGCAGGGTGTCTTGGAGGTTGTATGTTGTGATTCCTCAAGGAGGTTATAAGCCCCTCCATGAGTCCTCCAGAACTCAGCACCATGACTGGAAGTTGTCACTGATAGCCCAGTGAGAGACCCCGGTGGGGGCGGAAGGATGACAGGAGCAGGGCCTGAGGTTAGAGATGAGAGGAGTAGGTAGGAAAGTGAGGAAAAACGAGGGCTCAGAAGGATCAGAAGTCTGGAAATAGGCCAAGACAGAGCAGCCGGGGGAATGAGTAATCTGGGTCACCTTCTCTGCTAAGTGCAGGCCCGGGAAGGCTGAGAGCATGTAACAGGCAGGCAGCAGGACTGGGACAACTGGGGCCAGAAGTGGGGGAGGAATGAGTGCAGAGGCAGGACCCCAACTCAGGACTCAGCAGTGTCCCTACTCACCTACATGATCTGGCAACCTAATCTGTACCCTGCAGCTTATCCTGTTTCCTAGGGAGGCGGACTCTCACACGCCTGGACGTGTTAGTGATGGGAAAGAGGAGAGTGCCGGAGGGGCCCCAGTGAGAGGCCGGAGAAGAGCTCCACCTTATCCCTCGCCATTCTCATCTCACAGGGCAAACCTGACAGGCGCAGGACAGGAGCAGGCACATTACCCACTGTGGCTGTGACTTTCAGCTTCCCCAGGCTCCTGGTGGGCCCAGGATCCTACTAGCTCCCGACTGGGTAAGTGGATCTGCTCATGCACTTGGGACTTCCTACCACTCACCTTCGCTGAGGTAGAAGGAATGGGGCTGGGCAAAGGAGGGCCCAGCTACAGGGGTGGAGGTGGAGGTAGTGAGAGCCTGGGAGTCAGGACTGGGAGGTGGGGGGTGGTCAGCAGACAGCAGGGATTTGGGTTCCAAGAAGCAGTGTTTGAGCTGGGGCCAGGGTCCACCAGGAAGTAAAGTCAAGGCTCCTAGACGGAAGGCAGGGAAGTGGGGGGAGACACAGTCCCTTCTCCCCTGGCAGAAGGGGCCTTTGCCCCACCCCCTCAATGCCTTCTATGGCCCTTTCCGTGCCCTCCCCCCGCCAGGCGTGGAAGAATGCTGGCCTGCTACCGACCCCCAGGGAACGAGACGCTGCTGAGCTGGAAGGCCTCGCGGGTCACGGGCACGGCCTTCCTGCTGCTGGCGGCGCTGCTGGGGCTGCCCGGCAACGGCTTCGTCGTGTGGAGCTTGGCGGGCTGGCGGCCCGCACGGGGGCGACCGTTGGCGGCCACGCTCGTGCTGCACCTGGCGCTGGCCGACGGCGCGGTGCTGCTGCTCACGCCTCTCTTCGTGGCCTTCCTGGCCGGCCAGGCGTGGCCGCTGGGCCAGGCGGGCTGCAAGGCCGTGTATTACGCGTGTGCGCTCAGCATGTACGCCAGCGTGCTGCTCACCAGCCTGCTCAGCCTGCAGCGCTGCCTGGCCGTCACCCGGCCGTTCCTGGCGCCCCAGCTGCGCAGCCCGGCCCTGGCCCGCCGCCTGCTCCTGGCCGTCTGGCTGGCCGCGCTGCTGCTCGCCGCGCCGGCCGCCGTCTACCGCCACCTGTGGGGAGACCGCGTGTGCCAGCTGTGCCACCCGTCGCCGGCCCATGCCGCCGCCCACCTGAGCCTGGAGACGCTCACAGCCTTCGTGCTCCCCTTCGGGCTGGTGCTCGGTTGCTACGGCCTGACGCTGGCGCGGCTGCGGGGCGCCCGCTGGGGCGCTGGGCGGCATGGGACTCGGGTGGGCCGGCTGGTCGGCGCCATCGTGCTCGCCTTCGGCTTGCTCTGGGCCCCCTACCACGCCGTCAACCTCCTGCAGGTGGCGGCCGCGCTGGCTCCGCCCGGAGGGGCCCTTGCGAGGCTGGGCGGGGCGGGCCAGGCGGCGCGAGCCGGGACTACAGCTCTGGCCTTCTTCAGCTCCAGCATCAACCCTGTGCTCTACGTCTTCACCGCCGGGGATCTGCTGCCCCGGGCTGGCCCCCGCTTCCTCACGCGGCTTTTTGAGGGCTCGGGAGAGGCTCGAGGGGGCGGCCGCTCCAGGGAGGGGACCATGGAGCTCCGAGCTACCCCTCGGCTCAAAGTGGTGGGGCAGGGCCGGGGCGATGGAGACCCCGGGGGCGGAGTGGAGAGGGACAGTCAGGGATGGGATCCTTGACACCAAAGCCTACGACCTGGCCTGCCTCTTCCCTGTCCCCTTCCATCGCCCCTCCCCCAGAACTCAGGGAACCACTCTGGAGGGTTTGGGGACCCTTCTCTGGCCACAGTTTGGATCTTTCTGGACAGGCCTAGCTCCCTCCAAACGGAGTGACTGCAAGGAGTGATGGTGTTGTGTGCTTGCAGGTTGTCCTGGGCCCCTGTTGGATAGCTGCTGACTTGCTGCCAAAAGCTACTGTGAAATAAAGGGGGGGCATCACGTGATGGCGTAAGCATGCCCCCACTGGTGGTTCATCATGACTGACTTGTACCCAAGCCACCTGGTTCTCTGCTGGGTCAGCCCAAGGCTGGGCACCGCCAGCCTTCAGTGGCATCTTGACTTGTCCTCCCCAGCCCAGGTGGCCTAGTTCCCCCAGGTCAACCCATTGAACCACTCTGGAAATAAAGGGAGAAAAAAAGGAAAGCTATGGGTAGTTGAATGACAGATGGGGACAGCATCCATTCTCTGGGGTCTGAAAGAGCTGAGGGGAGGAAAACCTGGCTCTGGAAGAAGAAAGACCATCCGTGGGGCTTGGAAGGAAAGTTTTCCCGTCTTGTGGCTGGTACAGTGGGGAAGGAGCCCTGGGCGTCATATTTGTCTTCCCCTCTGAATCTGACTCTTCCCCCAAAGGTCACCTGACTCAAAAAGGACCCCAGGAGACTGCACATGCTCACCCTGGGGATGTTTGGGGCCTGGGGCTGAGCAGGTATGGGGAATGGTGTGGATGGCTGGAGGACAGGAAGAATTTTTCAAGGAGGCGCCCCCCTTCTTTGTCTCTTTTTTTCTCTCTGCCAAATCTTGACTCCCCCAAGAACTCAGCACTCTCCAATACTTCTTGGCCCCCATCTTTGGGAGTCTTTCCATCTCTAGGTCCCGAAGCTGTTTTGGATCCAGACGCTTTTGGGTTTGGAGAGGTAGGATAGGATTCATTTTTAGAGGGTGTCCATGTGCACACACATGTGGTCACTAGATTGACCAACTCATCCGATTAGCCCAAGACTTTCCCAGTTTTAGTGCTGAAAGCCTCTTGTCCCAGTCCCCTCAGTCCCTGGCAAACATCACTGGCCGGTTACCTGAGTGCTGCCTCGGACCGTCACCCCAGGTTCTGCTTTAGTGACTGTTTGTTTACACCACAAAGGCAGAGGCCAAGAAATATCTAAGGAAATTCGGTCCTCAGGGTCACGCCAGGGCCACCCAAACTGGGGCGGGGTGGAGCTCTGGATGTGGGGGTCAGGAAGTACACTTAGAGTAGCTAGTCTGGGGTGGAGAAAGAAAGGCCATTGAGAGACATGGAGGTGGGGAGTAGTGTGGGACAGGAGGCAAAGACAGCTCAGCTTCTATCAGATGGAGCCTCTGGTTGACCCTGGAGCCCCGAGTCAGAACCTCCCCAGACACGGACAGCAGGGGCTTCTTCCGGGTCTCATGTGCAGGGGCAGAGGCTCCCTAACTTCCTCTCTTCCAAAGTCCCCGTCTCACAACTGTGGTCAGAAGGCCCTTCCTCAACCCTGTCTTCCTGCTGCGGTTTTAGCCCATTTCTTTGCATCACATCCTCTGCCTCACAGCTACTGGGTCGGCTCTGCACCGGGCTTTCCTCAAAGCAGAGAAAGTGGGCTTGCTGCGAAGGGTAAAGGACCTCCATGACCACCATCACAGGCCGCATCTTTCCTGACAAGTGACAGAGTTGGCAGGGAAGCAGGAAGGCTCACAGTCAGATTGAAGGAATGATGTTTCGGATGTTAGCCCCTGCAGGAGAGGTCAAAGCGGGAGACTGCCCTCCCTCCAGGAAGGGAGAAGAGTGACCATTTGGGGGGGCTGTTCCTCCTTGCACATTCCTGGTTTCCCCTCCTGGCAGGGCAGGTGTGAGGCATCACTGCCACTACCACCTCTCCCTCTGCTCAGCCTCTACTTTTTCTGTGTGTCTAAGGTGGTACCAGACAGCCAACTATGGGAAGGTAGGAAAGAGGTGCTGCTGACCTCTTTGACCAGTGCCCAGATCTTAAATCCAGATTCATGTGGCAGGGAAGCCACATGGGCAAGTGCAAGGCAAGTGGCTGGGGAAGGGGGCAGAAACTGAAATTCTGTGGGATACTAAGGAGATCCTTTGGACTTCAGCTTCTGCCAAAGGGAAGGGAGAACTGACTGACCTAGAGCTGAAGCAACCACTTTAAATGAGGGAATAGATGCGGGTGCTCCCCTGCCAACTCCACTCATGGCTTGAACCCAAGCCAAAGACAGGATGGTGTCCTCTTTAAGCCCTGATGTTACCTAAACCCGAACCCATAACTTAGCCACAGGTCTAACCTACACTTCCTATTAATCTAAAAATCTACATTATTTACACAGTGGTATAAAGATACCCATAGGGGCACCTGGGTGGCTCAGTGGGTTAAAACCTCTGCCTTCAGCTCAGGTCATGGTCTCAGGGTCCTGGGATCGAGCCCCGCATCGGGCTCTCTGCTCAGCGGGGAGCCTGCTTCCTTCTGCCTGCCTCTCTGACTACTTGTAATCTCTATCAAATAAATAAAATCTTTAATAAATCAATAAATAAAGATTCTGGCCTCTCAATCTGAGCCCATTTCCCTTCTTTGGCGTCCCTCCCTCCTTCTCCTGTATGACAGTTTAGTACTCTATCCAACTCTCTAGTCTAGACCTGCATCTGAGGCCACACCCCAGCCTACTCACTCCCCTCACCCCTTTCCTCTCACTGCACCTTCCTGGGCTCTTCTCATCTGGTCCCACCCCTGAGGAGTCTTCCTCCCTGCTAGGCTCTTCTGGAACACAAAGACTATTCTCCCCCACCCCACAGTGAAGGGAGGGCTAGGACTTTCAGCCCCACCCTCAGCATGATGTGTCTTCCCCCTCCTCTGCTTCTTGGTACTTCCTCTCTGGCGAACTTAGCCAACAGCAACCAGACCTGGGGCTGGGGACCCTGGAACAGGGGACCCTGGAACAGAGGCAGGTCTGGGAATAGGCTACGCCACTCTGCCCCAGCCTTGAGACTGGCACCAGCTTCCCACCGGTACCCGGCAAAGCCTGGAAGTAAGTATCCTAGGGGTAGGGGAGGTATGAGGCAGGATACAACCGTGAGAGAAGGTGCAAAGGAATTTCCAAAGAAGGCCTGAGCAATGGTTAAAAGGACGGGAGAGGACTTGTTCTTGTCTTGTAGCCTCAGACTCCTCCCCATCCCTGTTCTTCCTGGTGGGCCCTGGGCAGCTCTGGAGAGAGTTAGTCAGTGACTGGAGGAAGTCAGTGGGACTGAGGGGGCTAAGGGCCTGGCAGGTGACAGAGAAATTAGGCTTTTGAGGGGTGCAGCTTTGGTAAGGAAGGTCCCCATCCCCCATGTCGTTCTGGGTCTCAAAAGGGAAGGAGGCAGAAAGGGTAAGAAAGTACTGGGGCTGCTGTTGCTCCATATTTTGCAACTGGGTCCGTGGGCAGGAAGGAGCCCCATGATCCAGTTAGAAAACCAGTCTTTGTGCTCTGCCAGGTCCCCTGAAGACAGGTCCGTTGATGAAGTGCTGAAGGCAATATATCGCAGAGGTGCATCTGCCGCTGCTGATCTTGGAGATGGACTAGAGTACTCAGGCTAGGTGTCAGGAAACGTTGGTCCCTTACCCTCATGCCTGTGTTCGCCCTCACCCTCCAGATCCTCGCAGTGGCCACGGACCCTACATCTTGGGCAGTACCTCCTCACTAGGGGTCATGTTCATCGTTCCATTGACTATCATCCTACTGTCAGTGGCGCTGGCTGTGGGGCTTCCAGGCAACAGCTTTGTGGTGTGGAGCATCCTGGTAAAGATGCGGAAGCGCTCTGTCACTGCCTTGTTGGTGCTGAACCTGGCCTTGGCAGACTTGGCTGTATTGCTTACCGCCCCCTTTTTCCTCTACTCTGTGGCCCAGGGCGCCTGGGGTTTTGGACTGTTTGGCTGCCGCCTGTTTCACTATACCTGCGGAGTCAGCATGTACGCCAGCGTCCTGCTGATCACGGCCATGAGTCTGGACCGCTCGCTGGCAGTCGCCCTCCCCTTCGTGTCCCAGAAGTTTCGTACCAAGGCCGTTGCCTGGTGGGTGCTAGGAATCATCTGGGTGATGTCCTTTCTGCTGGCCATACCTGTCATTATGTACCGCAACGTGAGCTTGAGACAGGACAACCAGACCCGCTGCTTCCCAACGTACTCCAGCGAGCGAGCCAAGGCATTCCATCTGCTCTTCGAGGCCCTTACCGGCTTCCTGCTGCCCTTCCTGGTGGTGGTGGCCTGCTACTCGGATATCAGGCGCCGGCTGCAGGCCCGGCGCTTCCGCCGCAGCCGCCGCACGGGCCGCCTGGTGGTGCTCATCATCCTGGCCTTTGTCGCCTTCTGGCTGCCCTACCACCTGGTGAACCTAGTCGACGCGGGCCGGGTGCTAGCCGGCAGGGGCGCGGCGCCCATGGGAGACCCGCTCTTCCTGGCGCGCCACGTGTTCATCGCGCTGGCTTTCCTGAGCAGTAGCGTGAACCCCGTGCTGTATGCCTGCGCCGGCGGCGGACTACTGCGCTCGGCCGGCGTGGGCTTCATCGCCAAGCTGTTGGAGGGCACCGGCTCCGAGGCGTCCAGCACCCGCCGCGGGGGCACCCTGGGCCAGACGGTGAGGGGCGCCCCCGCCCCTTCCGAGGCTGGCCCCTCTGGGAGCCTCGCCGACTCCATCGACGCTCTCCAGTGAAGCAAACTGAACTAGCCCTGGGGGTTGCTGGTGGTAGTGCTGCTGCTGCTGCTGGTAGAAGGACGCTGGCGGTCCTCGTGGCAGAATGTTCCCCACATTGGCCTGACCCAGTTTACCTCGAGGAGGAGGAGGAGGAGGAGGAGGAGAAGTAGAACTGGAGTGGGGTGGAGCGGAAGAGGAGGGAGGGGAGGGGCGGGGCGGGGCAAGTAAGGGCAGAGTGAAAGCCTGGAGCAGCTTTGAGATTAAAACTGGTATCCCGTTGGGTCAGCCCTGTGTGGGGCACGTGCACTAGGGGCAAGAGGGATGCTCCTAGCTCTCTTAGCGGAGGGGGTCCTTCTCAACAGGTGAGAGGCACATCCTTTAGTTTCCCGTGATTTTCAGTTTGGAAAGAGACACAAAGGCACAGAAACCAGAATCCCCTCTCCTCCCCCATTCTGAGGCTCTGCAGATCATACTTAGAACAATACAGGGCTACAGACCCCTGAAGGAGCTGACCAAGGAAGACCACCCATGAAGGCCTATCACTCCAGACTCCCTGAATCAGCGGATGTTCTAAGTACACTTAGCACTGCTGTGGGACTTCTACCCTGAAGCTTGTGATGGGTATCACTGTTACTATGACTCCAACTTCCTGCTACTCATCTTTGTCCTTTCAGTGGGCAATGTTCTAGGGGACTTCCCTCCATTTTCCAAAGAGGTCTCACTTGAAAACAAACTCATCAGATCTCAGTCCGTGGAATTCTGCACATCAGCTTTCTGCCAGTACCCAAAATACACTCTGATGCCCTCTGTAACCCTGGTCATTCTTAGGAAATTAAGATTCCTGTAAGTGAGAGAGTTAAGTCTTTCTTTCTGAGTGATGACTGTTGTTTTAGAGAGCCTGAGACTGGTTCTGTTCCAGCTGCATTTTAGGAAGATGGTAGAAGAAGTGGCAGCAGTGTACTTTCGTAATCTCTCCTGTAAAGATAGAGCAACTAGGAGAAAAAACAAGAATCCATGTGTAACATCTGTAACAAACCTAGGGTGTCAAGATATTGCTCACAGACTCCAAATATGAGCAAGGAGGAATGAACCAGGGATACTTCAAGACCCATCTAAATCAGCACCTGCAGAAGGAAGCTAGAGGGTATCTGAGGGACCTGAGAACAAGAGAAGCCCCAAACTGTCTACAGGTCTTGGCTGGAAAGCATGGGTCAATTCGACAACAGGGAAGGACCCAACAGATCATTTCCCAGGCCTCTAGTGCCCATGCTGCCTTGGAAGCACAGAGTAGATGCTTATTTAGTGTTTACTGAATGAATAAAGGTCAAATGATATTTTCCTAGCCAATATTTGTGGGTGGGAAACAGGAAAAGACAAATCCTTATTTTGAGACATGTGGCTAAAATTCTTTATGCTTCCAAGGTGTACAAAATGCTGGAATCAGGCAGGGAGGCCGAGGCAGTCCTCTTCCTGAGCTTGTGAAGAATCACTCCTTTCTAATACACTCATGATCATACTCGTGTATGGACACTCAGTTTAGCTTGGGAAGAAGCATCCTGCTGAGAGGCAAAGAGGTGTTCTGTAGCTATACCAGGAGCTGCTGCTGCTGCTTCTTTTTTAATAGATAGAGGAGAGAAAGAAGGGGGAGAGGGAGAGGGAGAGAGAGAACCTTTTTTTTTTTTTTTTTAAAGATTTTATTTATTTGACAGACAGAGATCACAAGTAGGCAGAGAGAGAGAGAGAGGAGGAAGCAGGCTCCCCACTAAGCAGAGAGCCCGATGCGGGGCTTGATCCCAGGACCCTGGGATCATGACCTGAGCGGAAGGCAGAGGCTTTAACCCACTGAGCCACCCAGGTGCCCCGAGAGAGAGAATCTTAAACAGGCTCCATACTCAGTGCTGAGCCCAATGTGGGGCTCAATCTCACCACCTTGAAATCATGACCTGAGCCGAGATCAAGAGTTGGACACTCAACCCACTGAGCCAGCCAGGTGCCCCCAGAGTCTTTTTATTGAAGATCTTAGAATAGAGAGGATGGGTGGGGGTCTCAGGCTAGGGTGGCTGAGGGAGGGCCAGTTCGTGTCAAATCTGTGTTCAGGAAATAGGTGCAGAGCTGCCCTTTGCCTTTGACCTTGATGATGCCCCGGCTGTAGCAGGTATAGCCTAAGGACTGCAACACCCGGGCTGTCTCTTCAGTCACCTGTGATTGAAAGGGTGTGAGCCTGGAGTGTGGGGGTGGCCCTATCCCCTCCCCCAACCCCGTGCTTCCAATGTGCCTCCTCACTTGGATCTTGCCCAGGACTCCTGTACTCTCCATGCGGCTCGCAACGTTCACCGTGTTGCCCCAGATGTCATACTGAGGCTTCTGGGCCCCAATCACTCCAGCAACTACAGGTCCGTGGTTCAACCCTGACAAGAGGTATGGTAAAGAGGGGCCCTGGGAGGTGGTGGGGGGAAGATTTGAGGAGGGAGAGAGGAGAAGGAAGCTCCAGGACTTATGGTGAAGGACCTGGAGATCTCAGAAGAAAGGAGAACGGGTCTGGAGGGATGTGGCTTAGGGAAGGGGTAGCTGACCCCCAGAGATCCTGGCCCAGCAGCTTCATGCTCTGCCTCCAGGGATGAGGCTGGAGGGGGTCCAGGGATGAGATGGAGAGTAGCTAACAAATGACTTGGGGGAGGAAGAGCCTAAGAAGGTGAAGAGGAAGTCCCAGACTGGCCCAGCAAGAGAGGGCCCTCACCCACACGCAGGCGGAAGTTGTTGAATGAGTGCTTATTGATGACATCCAGCTTTGATCCAAGGGCCACTGCAAACTCCACCATGGTGCCCAGGTGGCTGCAGCTTCGCTCAGCATCCTAGCAATGGGCCGGTCCACCAGGATGGGGCAGTGAGGGCCCAGCAGTGCAAGACCAGAGGGGGGCTGGTAGGAGAGGAAGGGAGGTTGTACCTGCTGTGTGTCCTGTCCAGAGGTGGCGTTTAAGCCTGTGGCTGCCATGTAGGTGCTGCCGATGGTTTTGATCTTCTCCACCCCACTAAACTTGGGCTTTGAGAGCAGCTGTACAGAAAGGAGGTTGTGTCCCCAGTCTTTCTTACTCCCTCCCTCCTCCATCTCAGAAGCCCAGCCCCAGGCCTTTAGAGACAAAGGACCAGGTTGTGGGGTCAGGGAGTGTGGCAGGAGGGAGACTGGATCGTGGGAAGAGTCGCTGGAGAGCTGGGGATCAGAGGAGCGGCATGGCCAGGGAGAGAAGCATGGGCCCCTGGCCGGAGAGCAAGTGGGCAGGAGGGACTGGTGGGAAATTCTAGCACCCAGGACTGGGGGACCCTTGGAGCTGTCACCTCATCAAAATCTGCAATGATCTCATTGAGCAGCCGCAGACACTCTAGACCCTCGTGGTTGATGTTGGATTCAGAGTAAAATTCCTTAAAGTCTGGAACTGAGGCGAACAGGACACAGACACACTCGTAGGATTGGTGGTAGAGATCCTGGAGGGTGGGAGGCTGGGATGAGGGAGCAAGCCACGTTCTTTCCCCCGTGGGTCTGCATGGGCCCCCTTCCCTGTGTCCATACTCTTACTCCTCTATTTAAGAAGGACTGGAGAGGTGGGAGAGGGATAGGGCCAGGTTACCCTGGATGTGTGACTCGTTAGTCAAAGATTGGGTCTCATTATGATTCCAGGAGAGATAGGGGTTTGGAGTCAGGGTCACCTCATAGCAATGTGAGAGGCGCCTCTTCAAGAACTGGGATCATATCAGTAGGAACTGTCTTTCTGTCCTATCTTGCTGCTAATGGGTATTAAGCCAGTTAACTCAGTTTACAAAGATAGCTTCAATTTGGAAGATAAAATAATAGGGGAAATGTGCAAAGGAAAAATAAAAGTAAGACAGGAAAGATGGAATCTTATTCAAAGTTGGTTCACAAAAGGGGTGACCCGAAGTCCTTGTCAGTCCTAGGTTCTGGCTCTGGGCTTTCTAGCAGCCAGTGTGAAGACAGAAACAGGAACAGTTACAAGAGTCCCAGTATAAATAAGAGTAGCGGAAGTAGATCTACTGCCAACCTTGAGCGCAGAGAGCAACTGGTGGGGGCATAAAGCTGTGAATAGACCCTGACCTGTTTCTTTTAACATTCCTCAAGACAGGCCAACAGTATCTCCATAGCAGACAGGGAGAAGTTCAGGCAGTACAGGCAAAATGGCGCTAATATGTGGGTGACCTTCTCTGATGGTCTGACTAGAGAGCATTTGAGGATGGAGATTAACATCTACCAATGGAAATTCCTGTGGTAGGAAAGTTCTGAGTATGTGATGTCTGATATGGTTGCCATTGGCCATAAGCAGCTCTTAGACACTTGAAATGTGACCAGTGAGGCTAAGGCCCTGAATGTTCCATTTTAATTAACTTAAATGTAAATGGCCCCACATGGCTACTGGCTACCATCCTGGATAGTGCTGGTCCAGAGGGCTGGGTGTATGTTCTCCATACATCTCCCATCAACACTCGAAGAAGCTTCTGGAAGGTATGGAGTGGCCATGGGTTGGAGAAGACACTCCTTCTAAGTAAGTACTTGGAACGCAGAGGTTCTGTGCTCAGCAGACTAAGCCTAAGAGCTTATTAAAACGGAGGCACCTACCTGACAGGGACAGGGACCCAGGCGGCCACCCAACCCAATGTGGGGGAGTCCAGAGATGATGGGCCGAGGGCCAAGATTTTCATCCAAAATTAGTTCCTGTGGCATCTGGGGCTCAGGAGTCAGGGGTGGGAGTCACCTCATTGCGCCGGTTCTGGCCGATGAACTGGGGGGCCACGTGTGCGGGGAGCACATTCTCTAGCAGCAGCCGAGTCAGGTTCTCCATTGTTTCTGTCTCTTCCTGCTCCTGCCGCAGCTTCTTCTTCCACAGAAAATCCAGGCGGCAGTAATACTCGTTCTGGCAAGGTCACCAGGGGCCCAAGTGGAGACACGGTGCAGGGAGAGCCTCAGCTCCTGAGTGTTCACCCCCCACCCACACCATGATGCCTCAAACCATACCACTCCCCAGTCTAGAGAGAAGGCCTAAGGGCTGACTACCCTGGGGAGGCTACCTTGGAACTAGATTCAAACTAGACAGACTTGGCAGCAGATTTTTTTCTCATGGGTGGTTTTCCTGGACTTGGGGTGGGAGGGACAAGGGAGAGAGAATTTGAGGGCACCTCCCTTGGGGAGTGAAGGAGAAAGAAAGGGAGCAGGAAGGTTCACTTAGAAGCTTCCGGTGGACACACTACTTGGATGTAAGATGAAGATGTAAGATTGAGGGAAAGGGTGAGAGAGACCAAGCCACAAATATGGGGACCCTGCCTCCCCCTTTAAAGGGAAGCTCTGTTGGGTTGAGCTGGGTGACTTACCTGCCGAGCCAGGACTAGGAGGGTGAAGAAGAAGATGAAGAAGGAGACAGCTCCCATGAGTTTGGGCTCCTTCAGCACCCCTGGCCTGAGGAGGCCATGGATCAGGGTTGCCCCTTGCCCTGCCCCTTCCCGATGGCCTCCTCCCTACCCCCAGTGCCCACGTAACCCTTAGCCACCCTCCCCCTTTCAGGTCAGTGAGGCGAGGACAGCTTTGGGCACCTCTGTTCCGTGGCGATGCGCACCTGGAGTCCAAGGGATCTGGATAGAGGCGGGCGATAAGGCAGTCGGACAGCCAGGCATGGGAGTACAGGAAGAGGGAGCAGGAGGCCCCCAGCCACAGCAGGAGCAGCAGCAACTTCAGCTCAAAGCTCATGTGCAGAAAGAGGGAGCAGGACAGGAACCCCAGCACGCAGCAGTGCATAGAGTACTGTGGGGTGGGGTGGGGCTGTCAAGGGGTGGAGCATATGCCACATGCCGGGGTGGGAGAATATCTCAGGGCTCCTGTCCCACCCTTCCCAGGGCCTAGGTCCTATCTGGGGACAAGGAGTGTCATACACAAAAACACACACCAATTGTGTTTTATATCCATCCCAATTCACAGGATGGAATGTTTTTCAACTAAAGGGGTAGCAGACAGGCAAAGGCAGGCTCCGGATAAAGTGATTCAGGGCTGTGAGGAACACTCACCGGGACGCTGATGAGAGGCAGGGACCCAGGGAGCTCCCAGGAGAGGTTGAAAGCCACGGAGGACACATTGGGAGCCCGGGAAGGGCAGTTTGATGCTGCTGGTAAGAACAACTGCAGAAGGAGGTGAAGAGCTGAGGTGGGCAGGCAGCTCCTGGGGCCCAGTGGTGGCTTGTGCTGGGTTTCGGCTGACCTAGGGATGAGGGCCAGACTCCTCCAAAGGGGGAGATCCTGCCATTTCTGGCTGGTGAGGGAGCCTTAGCGCTGGGGTCCTTGCTGGGCAGTCAGGGATGGGAGGTGAGGGTGTCCTGAGTGCTAGTCTGCCAGTGGAGCCACTGTGTGATCTCTTGCCAGCCACTTAACCTCTCTGGGTCTCAGCTTCCTCTTCTGTGACTTGTCTAGGGCATAATTCCTAAGGTGTCTTTCAGAGATAGAATTCTAGGAGGATAGAATTCTGTAAGTTCTGAAAAATCTGCCAGACTCAGCTACAAAATCATAGTGAGTGAGCTAAACAGCGAATATCTGCCTACACAGAAAAGATAGGAAGGATGTCCACCAGAGAGCTATGAACAATTATACAGGTGGCAGATTAATTTTACTCTTTATACTGCATCCAACATTGCCAGAATGCCCTGGCCTCAGTGCAGCTGCTCTCCCAAATCCAGGGGTCCCCACTCAGCCTCTAATGGGTCCAACAGGCCCTGATGGGGCTGCCTGGGGCCCCCTCTTGCCCTCACCAGGCTGGTAATAGCCATGACAAAAACGAGGAGGATGGTGGCAGTGCCCAGGGCAACTCGCAGTCCGGGCCGGGTGGCCACCAAGCCAGACAGTGTGGGAAGCCAGTGTAGCATCTTGGGGCCTTTCAAGACACACTTCTGTGGAAGGAGCACAAGAACCTTAGCCATGTGGCTGGGGTACCCCATCTCAGGCCAGGTCGTGGTAAGGGCCCAGCTCACCACTTCCACCCCCCCAGCCCACCTCACCGTCAGGTGCTCTGAGAAGCAGACGAAGAGGAGGAGGAGGAAGAGAAGGAAGGTGATGCTATAGGTGATGGCCAGAGCTGGGGGCCTAAAGGGAGACAAGAGTGAGTGAGGCCTTGAAAGGTCAGAAGATGCTCTGTGTGCTGGGAGGGTGCTGTGTACCCTGGCTGGGAGATGTGGGGAGGAACAGTCCTGGGGATCTGAACTGATCCCCGCTGGGGTCTGCGCTGATAAAAGACATTGCATGCCAATGATCCAGGAAGGCTGAGGGGGTGTAGGGCGGTGGTGGGGTGGGGCAGGAACAGTACTGGAAGGCGGCAGGGGGCTCACGAGGGGCCGAGGCTGCATTAAACCAGTCTCTGAGCCTTCAGGCCAAAGCTCTTCCACCTGGCTGCGTTTTAGACGAGTCCTTGCAGCCCCTCCCAGCCATGGGCTAAAAATGAGGACCTGCTTCCTAGGCTCATCTGCTATGAGATTTGGGCTTCTCAATGAAACAGAACCTGTTTCATGGAAAAGTGATCAGGACCCAGAGATAGGCATGTGAAAGTGCTCAGATTATGTAGACAGAACACAGGATGTGTGATAGTAAAAATGAAGGCTGTGATTATCACTGCTTCCCCAGAATACATACTTCCTCTGTGGCTCCACATCTGAAGCCAAAGGGAAGTGGGTAAAGGAAGAAAGTGTGGGTCAAGGATCAGCAGGAGCCTGGTGGTCTGTGTCTGAGACTCAGGGCCACCCTTGCCTGGGGCTCTCACCTGTTGGTCACCAGCATCTGGATGATGAAATTGGAGAGGAAGACCAGGAAGGTGCAGGCTGCATAGTATTTGAAGGCGGGGAGGGCAGAGAGTCGATACTGGAAGGACAGGGGTCAGTGTGGCGGCAGGAGTGACCAGGGCTGCCTGTAACCTTGGCAATGTCCACTGCAGGCAAGGAGCAGGTATCCCAGCTTCCCATTCAGTCTCAGGTAGCTGCTACGGCTCTCCCAGGAGCCGGCCTCCTCCCTCCCATCCCCACCTAGTAATCCAATCTATAGGGTTACCTCCATTTGGAGAGAGGCACAAGTCCCTCAACCTAGAATCACAAACTGAGCAGACCTGAGGGGTGAGGTATGACCATGGGGCTTGCCAGCTCTCCAAGGCCACAAAGGCCTTGGAACTAAGGCTAGAAAATTCTCCACTGCCACCCCCCACACCCACCTCTTTCTCCAGCTCCTTCTCTCTGAAGTACAGTGTCAGTGGGCTGAAGTCCTTTGACTGCTTCCATTGTCTGGCGGGAGGTGGGGGGCAGTGAGCCCCAGAGAGGAAAGGGCAGGGCAAGGCGGGTGGGGGGCCGTGGTGGCCAGATGTGGGTTTTCCTGGGCTGGAGCAGGGAAGCTGCTCCCTTCCTGCTGGGTCATCAGGGGAACACACCCGTTTGCTACCTGGGGGCCCAGCCCCACACCCCTCCCAGCTGCCTTCTGTTCTCCATACTTCTGAGAGTTGAGCTGTTCGATGACTTGGAAGAACTTGGCATCCCCAGTATCCAGGTCTTCATCTAGTCCCCGGGGGGTACGGCTCCTGCACAGTGAGAGCCCAGCCTGTCACCACAGGAGACCCTCCACAGCATGTGGGCAAAGCAGGAGCAGCCCCCCTAGGGAGGATGGAGGCAGGTCACTCAGACAGAGATGCTGGGGCCTCCTCACCGGTCCAGGCTCCACTGGGGGCTGAAGGAGGCAAAGGCCTTCTCCTGTTGGGAGAACACAGGGGAGGGGGAGATGAGGCAATGCTGAGCATCCCTGAAGCCTCTCTAGGGTGAGGCATTCCATATCTATACACGTCCTTGGCCTTGAGCATCTGATGTGTTTCCCCTGCTTCTGATGACTTCCTCTTTCCATCAAATCCATCAAATCCCTGCCCTTAAGGGAAGGGTCAAACCACATTTATTCCTTAAAGGTTCTTCCGGACTCTTCAGACACCCAGGGTTCTTATGCTCTTATTTCCTCAGTTTCTACCACTTAATGAGACAACCCTGTAGGTTTGAGGGATGGTCATCTTCCCTAGGGACTAACCAAATCCCAAAGGCGGAGACTTGCCTATCCCCCCAGCATGCCCAAAGATCCTTGTTGGTTTAAATTGAGGGACAATGCCAAACATTCTGACTCCCTTGTGGTCAGGCTGAGCTGGGGCGTGGTGGGAGCAGAAAACAAAAAACCTAGAAGGAAGGGAAGGAGGAAGGAAAAAACCAAACCTGGTCACACTCATTCTTTTCTGCAGTAAAAGGAAGGCATGCTGTGTGCAAAGAATCAAAAGCAAGCAGACAAGTAAAGCCCCAAGAAAGAGAGCAAAGCACAGCAGCCACTGCCCAGGGCCAGGTGTCTGGGGACCATTCTTTCCTGCTCCCCTGGCTCAAGTGAAGGCAGCAGAGTCACAGGGGGCCACATCGTCCCCACAGACCCAAACCTGGCATATAGGAGAGGGAGAGGGGAGGAGAAGGGAGATTAAAAGGGATGTTCCAGGGGCGCCTGGGTGGCTCAGTGGGTTAAAGCCTCTGCCTTCGGCTCAGGTCATGATCCCGGAGTCCTGGGATCGAGCCCCGCATCGGGCTCTCTGCTCGGCAGGGAGCCTGCTTCCTCCTTCTCTCTCTCTGCCTGCCTCTCTGCCTAATTGTGATCTCTGTCTGTCAAATAAATAAAATCTTTAAAAAAATAAAAAAAATAAAAAAATAAAAGGGATGTTCCAGGGGCGCCTGGGTGGCTCAGTGGGTTAAGCCGCTGCCTTCGGCTCAGGTCATGATCTCAGAGTCCTGGGATTGAGCCCCGCATCGGGCTCTCTGCTCAGCAGGGAGCCTGCTTCCTCCTCTCTCTCTGCCCGCCTCTCTGCCTGCTTGTGATCTCTCTGTCAAATAAATAAATAAAATCTTTAAAAAAATAAATAAATAAAAGGGATGTTCTAGGTAGGAGCCCATCTATGCATTTTGGTCTGAGCCTAATTTTTTTCAAACTACCTTGCTCAATGCCTATATGTTATTCGAAGGCAGGGAAAACGTTTTATTCATTTCTGTCTTCTCAAGAACTAGCTTAGGGGCGCCTGGGTGGCTCAGTGGGTTAAGCCGCTGCCTTCGGCTCGGGTCATGATCTCAGGGTCCTGGGATCGAGCCCCGCATCGGGCTCTCTGCTCAGCGGGGAGCCTGCTTCCTCCTCTCTCTCTGCCTGCCTCTCTGCCTGCTTGTGATCTCTCTCTGTCAAATAAATAAATAAAATCTTAAAAAAAAAAAAAAAAAAAAAAGAACTAGCTTAGTGCCTGCCACATGGTAAGTGGTTTAAGATTGTGTAAGGATGGATGGATGGATGGATGGATAGATGGTTGGATGGATGGATGGTATTATACTAGTATAAACCGTGCGCCAACACCCCAGAGGTCCCCATTGTAAGGGTAAGCTGATGTGATTCTCAGGTTTTCTAACATCTGACTGAGGGCTTGGCACTTCAGGGGGTGGGAAGTGAATTTCTGGGCTGGTGAAGTCCTGACTTGGGAGATACCCTTGAATTAGGGGTTCCTACCTCTCTACCCTGATACTTCTTAGCCTGCACACTAGTGGGTCTTGGGGAGGTGTGGCGTGGATTCTGGGGGGCATCGCACCACAGGTATTACACCCAACACTGTCTCACAGTCCCTGGGCTCCCATCAAAGCCCGCCCTCTACTCTATCTCCCCCTGGGGGGCTTCATCCTGCAGGGGTCAGAAGGGTCTTGGATTCTTTCTTCCTCTCCCTCCTGCCCACTAAGCCCTTCTGGCCCTTCCCCTACTCTATGTTAAGGCTCAGTATTAGGTATTCTCCTGAACCACTGCTGCCAAGGTTCCCCCTGCCTCCACCCCACTCCACAGTGCTCACTGATCTCTGGCCTGCTTTCCTGCTGGGTGGGTGGGGTGGGGAGATAGAACACAGAAAGAGTACTCTGAAGTCATCCCACATACCCAACTGGGTCTACCCAGTAGAGAAGATTCTGAGCAGAAGATATGCAGAAAGGTGGCTGGGAAAGTTTGGGGAAGATCAGGTGAAGTGGAGGAGAGCAGGCTGAGGAAGCTATTCCTGGGGCAAGCCTTTGGGGACATGGCCTCAGTCCCTGCAAGAGAGGGTTCTGGCGCTTGTTACCAAGCATCAACCCTGAGAGCCAGCTAGTCGGGGAGATAAAGGTTCCTGCATCAGCTAGTGGGTCACCGATGAGCTGAGGGTGACACGCACAGGATCAACCAGTAATCCACCATCCCCTGGTGTCCTCTTCCCTCTCTCCCTGACCCCTGCCTGCTCAGGATGACTTCCTTCAAGGCCATGTGAGATTTTCCCTGTCACCTCATTTTATCCTCACACCAATGCTGGAGAGTGGGACAAGAACCGATTTGCCCGCACCTTCCCAGTCCTAGTGAGGATGAAAAGAGAGGGTCCAATCTCAGGAATGGAGTTGGACAGAGACATTGCCCAGTGGGAATGGCTGTAAGCACTGGCTTCAGACCCAGGACGAGTGTGGGCTATACCTCTGTGGTACTGATGGAAGGGGGTTCCTGAGTGGAGGCTGGGGAACAATGGACATAGTGTCTATAGGATTTTGTATCTCAGGTGAGCTCAGAGGGCAGTGATCTTTGCCCTTTCTTTGGAAGGAAGGGCAAGGAAAGGCCTGAACCAGGGACTGGGGCAACCAGACTGTTCAGGGCCTTGGGATGTCATCAAGTGACTCACTGGTGGTGAGGACAGGAAAGTCGGGAGGGGTGGTGAGGGTGGGGTTATTAAGTGCTCGGGCTCAGATGGAGATGCACTTACCGGGAGAGGGGTAGAGGTGGACACAGGGCTCTCTAGGTGGCTCAGGTGGGCAAAAGGCTTGGCCGCGCCCCAGGACTCCAGGTAGCGCGTCATCAACAGTGATGGACGCATCTTGGGGCCCTCGAGAGAGGACAGCAGCCCTCCTGCAGTGCCCTTCTCATCCTCCTCCTCAGCCTGGGGCATATGAGAGCTGAGAGTCAAGATCACAAATGCGTTCTACATTCTCCCCACACCCCTTAGAAGGTTGGCTCTCCTTCCCGCTGATGCACACACTGGAATCCAGGAATTCAATGTTTGGCATAGGAGAAGAGATCAGGCCTGTCAGCTGTGGGTGGTTAGTATGGGCCAGCCCATGGGGTCCAGGCTGGGCTTTTACCCGGGGATCGATGACGAGGTAGGTGGGCTCCCCTAGCTCCCGAAGATATGGGTCCCGGTGTTCCATGGATACATCCTCTACAGCGTAGGCCCCTGCTAGCAAGGCCAGGGTAGCCCCTGTAATATGCACTCGTCTGGAAAGAGGGGTCAGTGAGAGTCAGGAGGGAGGGCCTGCAAACCTCTCATTTTTTTCCCAGGGTACTTCCTGGAGGTCTGACCTTAAACAAGGCCCTGTGCTCCCAGAGGTGTCTCCCAGCACCCCTCCCTGCACATCAGGATCTCCCTGAGCCCCAGGTAGGATTGTGCTCATTTTAGGAAACTATGAATAAGATGGCAGCACATGCGAGGCCCGGCTGGTTTCTTCCTGTGGCCTCCTGCAGCCCCACGTCTCACCCTGGCACGCCACCCGCCTCCATGTGGTTGGCCAGCGTGACATCATGGGACCAGACGTCATACTGCCACTTCTGCAGCCCGATGACTCCACAGAGCACGCTGCCCGAATGCACGCCCACACGCATGTTGATGTCCACGCCAGTGGCTGCGCGGAGTTTCCTGAGCAGGGTATGCAGGGGACAGTCTGAACACTACCTTCGGCACCTATGCATGCCATACACCTCCCTCTCTCCAAGAGGTCCTCCAGTACCCTGCCTGCTCCTCCCCCACATCCATCCCTGGGTAGCCCTCCTGCCCGCCCACCTGAGCTGACCTGATGGCCCGGCACATGTCCAGCCCCATGCGCACGCAGTTGATGGCGTGGTCGGGCAGGGAAAGTGGGAGCCCAGAGACACAGTAGTAACAGTCTCCCAGAATCTTGATCCGCATGCATTCATGCTCCTGGGAGTGTGTGTGTGTGCAGAGGGAGGAGGGGCACCTGGTTAGAGGTCAGAGGAGGCACGAGGGTACTGGGACAAGTGGGAGCAAATGGTATTCCTGAACAACTTCTGAGGTTGGAAGTCTCTGAGTCAGATCTAGGGATTCCCTTAACTTGATATGGGGCTGGCTGAGGTTGGTGGCTCTCCCCCAGCTTTGGCACGTGTAGGGTGTATTCAGATTTGAGCACATGAGTGTGGCCTCAAGACTGCAGTTTTCTGGGGGAAACTGAAGATTAGGTTTGTTGGGGGGGCATCCCTGGGGTCTGAACAGGAGGCAGTGCTGGCCTGGACTGATGTTGCATGAGGCAGAGACTTCCCTTGGAAAATCTAAGATTAAAACATCTGAAAACCTCTCTAGATTTGGTTGTAGTGTCCAGAGACCCCCTACACTGAGGGCTTGAGCATATTTAGGGGTGTTGTCATTGGGGCATTTGTGGGGCATTGTTGAGAAGTCTCTCCAGGTTTGAGGTGTGTGGTGAGCAGCTCCATACCTGGGGTTGTTTGAAAGGGTTTCCTAGTTCCATTGGAATATCTTCCATTAGAATACATGGGCTCTGAAATGGGACTGGGATCGTAGGTGGCAGGAGTTTCCCTTGTAAAGGGTTCTCCAGGGTGGGCATTTGAAGATCCCTGGGGGGCATTTGAAGGTCCCTGGGTAGGGAGGGAGGTCCCCTCTGACCTTGGCAATCTGGTCGAACTTGCCAAAGAGCTCGTTGAGCATGAGCACCAACTCCTTAGGGGAGCACTCACTGGCCAGCCGTGTGAAGCCCACGATGTCAGCATACAGCACGCTGGGCAGGGCAGAAGGTGTCAGTGGGGCCAAGATCTCAGCCCATCCCCCCTTCCCCTCTGGCCATCCTCTCTCATACCTGACTCCCTGGTGCCTCTTGACATAGAGGCTGTGGAAGTTGTTGGTGCTCTCTGGCCGTGACCCCTGTCCAGCCTGAAGCCGTGCCATGATCTCTGCCTTCATCTCTCGGGCCAAGTAGGCAGGAAGGATGGACAAGAGTAGGTGTTCCTAGAGGAGATCACTATGAACAACCAGCTTCTTGCAACCTAAGGCCAGCCTCCCAACAATCTAGGAGCTCACCCACTTCCCCAGCCCCACTAATGTGCCCCAGAGTACTCCCCCAGGTGCTCCCCATCACATAGAGCTGGGCTTCAGCACCCCATCCTGCACTAAGGGACTAATCACCTTTAGGGACTGAACTCCCAGCACCAATGCCAGAATTAAAGTTCTTCATTTAGTATCATAAAAGTGCTTTTACAGGGTGCCTGGATGGCTCAGTGGTTTAAGCCTCTGCCTTCGGCTCAGGTCATGTTCTCAGGGTCCTGGGATTGAGTCCCCGCATCCAGCTCTCTGCTCAGCAGGGAACCTGTTTCCCTGTCCCCTGCCTGCTCTCTGCCTACTTGTGATCTTTCTCTCTCTGTCAAATAAATCTTAAAAAAAAAAAAAAAGGAGTAATGTTAAAAAGAAAAACTGCTTTTACAAGCTTCAGGGTTTTTGAGACTTAACTCTCCAAGGTGGGTGGTAGCCACGTTTTACAAAGGAGGAGAGAAAAGGGCAAGTAGCTTGCCCAAAGTCATTCGCCTTGCAAAGGAGCCCCCTTGTGTGATATAAACAACTCCTTTTTCAAACCCTGGTCCCGCCTAGCCTCCCAGGCCCAGCATACCTGGTGCTTCTTCTCAGTGTCCAGCCTCCGGCGCGAGTGCAGGGACCGAAGGGCCTCCCGGAACGTGGCGCGGAGCGCGCGCTCCATCAGTGCCTTGTGATAGGCTCCAGCCACGTTCCCGCACAAGAACAACACGGCGTTTGCTGCCAGCTGGGGGAGAGGATCAGCCTTAGAGGGTGCTGGCCGCAGGTGGTGGGGCAGTGGTTACGAGTGCAGCTGGAGTTTCTCCAAGAGGATTGAGGAGGACTCCACAGTTTGAGACCTAAGTATTTCCAGGCAATCGGTGCCACTCTGCCGTGCCCGTAGGGGGCGCTTTCCCGGCCCCAGTATCCCTGCTCTAGACTCAGTTGTGCACCAAAGAGGCCTCCTAGGTCTAGAAAACCTTGCACACACGTTTCCTCTGCCTGGAATACCACCCCACCATCTAAGCCCCTCCGCGGCCCCTGAGCACAAAACCATTCAAGCTCCAATTTTTACATTCTCTGTGAAGGTTCTGTCATTCAAATCTGTCCCCACAACTCTGGTCCCCTGGTGAAGTCCCTTCCCCGTGGGCCCAGAGGCGTCTTCTAGTGTCTGCACCCTCAGGCTGCAGTGATGTACCAGCTCCCTGAGGGCACCGTCTGGGGCTATGGTTCTGTATCCTGTGCTTAGTGTGGCACCCTGCCGTGGAGTCGCAGCTGGGCGAGAGGTCGGCGCATGCTCAGAGGAACCAATGGCGGCCAGTAGAATCAGTCCTGCGCGCCGCCGGGCCCCTGGGCGCATCCTGTGCTACGTGCATTCTCACCTGGGGCAGCAGCGGCGGCCGGGAGTCCGGCTGAGGCCCAAGGTACAGCCCAAGGACCAGCAGGTGGGACAGTGATGAAGCAAGGCCCGCAGCTGCGGCATCCCGCATGCCCAAGGGCAACATGGCATACACCGTGAAGATGATGAAGAGAAAAAAGGACACCTGGGGAAGTAGAGGCACCGGAAGCTGCTGGCTGCTCTTGGCCTGGGTGTGCTCCTGCTCCCTGCTCCCCCTGCCGCTCCTCTCACCTGGTCCCAGGCGCTCACCAGGCCCCCAGTGAACAGGAAGCCGTGGCCTAGCCCAAGTAGCGCTGCCCACACGAGGACCGATAGGGGACGTGTCCAGCGCTGCAGTCGTTGCTCACGGGAAGCCAGGCCCAGGAGAAGCGAGAAGCCACCCAGTGCACACAGCACAGTGGTCAGGAAGCCCGGGTCTGAAACTAGATCCTGTGGGGAGGGGGTGCTTGTGGAAAGACTGGAGTGCGTAGGTTGGGGAGCTCCTCCGAGCTGAAGAGCAGGCAGCCCCCCAGCCTGCTTCTGGAAAGTGTCTTTAACTCAAGTCAGAAAAGGAGACAGGGCATTTGGGCCGGCCATTCAGATTAGCTTGAACCATAGGAAGTTGCCAAGAATCTGTTTTTAATCTACAGAGCCTGCTGTCTCATATGATTCAACCTAATATCTCACTGGCAGCCGGGATGGGGAAGGCTTGGGCCATCTACCCAGAGTCTACCCATATGGCGCATTTGTGAATCCGGGACCTTTCTGAGCCTGTTTTCTTATCTGTCAGGTTGGAATTAGAATACCATCCTCGGGTCCGCATGCAAGTGAAAAATCCTACCTCATGGGACACTTAGGAATGAGTGTATCCAAATCTGGCCAATTTGCTTAAGATTTCCTGCCCTGGACACAGGTCTGGGAGCAGCCCCTCCCAGCCCCAAGAAGTGCTCTAGCAGCAAGGGGCACCTGGAACCTCCCTCCCCGGCAGGGGTGGGGATTCAGGGGGGAGCCCTACACTTTCACCACCCACCTGTGGACGTGGACCTCCTGCCCCTGTCCCTGTCCTGTGTCTCCACCTCTTTCTGGACTTCCAGGTGGCCCAGAAAGAACTGGTCAGTTTAGTGGCTTCCCCAGCTTGCTTCCAAAAAGTGAAAAGAAAACTTGGAGCAAGATATTTCCAGAAATGGAATTGAAGACCCCCTTTCTCCAAAAAAAAAAAAAAAAAAAAAAAAAAAAAAAAAAAAAAAAAAAAAAAAAAAAAAAAGAAAAAAAAAGGAAGAAACTGGAAATGGCTTTATTTGGGGA